TAAAGATTCATTCTGTTTCATTGTTTTGTTTCTCATCTTCAGGGACTCCAATTATGTATACATTGGATTTTCTTTCCTTTCTGACATTTCAGCTACTTTCTCTCTGATCCATTTTACTACTTCCTTTACTTCATTTTTATTCTCGGACTTGCTTTTTGGCTTTTCTTCAATGACCTTTATTACATTTTCATCTGACTCTGTAATCCCTTGAGTATCTTCTAATTATGGCTTTTTTATATGATTTTGTATATTTCTTATATTTATCTTGTAATTTCCATCAACTCTGATTTCATTTCTGCCTCATTTTTGTTCATTTCTGTTATTAATTTTTGAATTTCTGATTCACAGTGTCTTGCAACATCCTCAGAGTTTGCTTCAGAATATTTATTTAAGTTTGGAGGGTATGATTGCAGTTTTCTTCACTTCATTATTGAGTTTTCAGAGGGAATTTTCATCCACTTACTGTTTTCATTTGCATTTTGCTTTGTTAAGTTTTCTTTTGTAATAGGTTTTTGGATAAAAATATTGCACCTTTGCATTTCTGTGGACAGGAGTGGCTGTTTAAGATGATTTATGTCTTTCTAGGTCAAGTGCACCCCCACTTCAGTCAGCATAGTTTCTTGCATTGGGGGCAGGATGTGAGAGGAAGGGTTGTGCCTCCTTCATTTTTTTTTTTTAATTTCCATTTCCTTGCAGGACCCTAAAGCTCCCCCATTACTTCTTTTCCATTACATCCATGGCTTTTGAAGGATATCTTTCCCTTCCTTTTAATCTTTTCCTCCCCTAAAGCGTTATCTTTGCAAGGCCACCCTTTCATGTCCTGAATGCACATTAAGTCCCTTCCCTGTCATCAGGGACCTACATACACTTTTCCAGCATTTCCACTTGTAGGTAAACTTTCTCCCTCTGCTAGTGTTTTTGGATAAATTTTAGGTCAACCTTCAGTTTCCCTCTTCTCTTTCATAAGCACATTTCCCAAAACTTCCCTTTCTTTCTGAAAAACTTGTGTCAGAGTGTGGGAAGTAGCTTGTGGGCTTTGCTGTTGTTTTTCTACTTATGGATAATATGAAGTCCACATGAACTCTGTCTTCTAGTTTTGCAGGAGGCATGTTGTATATAAGTTTATTCATTTGTCTTCTGCTCTTTATTTCTTTTTTGGAAGAGGTGTTGAGAGTTTCATGTTTCCATAGCTACCATTACTTCAGCTTCCATTGCTGCAATTTTGATTGGGATTACCTTGACACTTTACATAAATTTAGGGAAATTGACATTTTTACAATATTGAGTTTTCCAATATAAATTCTTTTCATGCTAGTGATTTCAGTGTAGAGGTCATGAGTACCTTTTGTTAGTTTTATTCCTAGAGAGTTTATGTTTTTTGATGTTAATGTAAATTGTATCATTTTGCATTTCATTTCCATTTTTGTGTTGCTGTCATATAGAAATAGGATTGATTTTTGTCTAATTGCTATTGTATCCAGTGGCCCAGCTAAATTCATATTTTTAACTTTAATAGTCTGTAGATTCTTTTGGATTTTCTGCACACACATCATGTCATCCATAATTATTTATATTTTTTCCCTTACACTGGTAATATTTCAGTTATTGAGATGGGTACATTGATGTTCATTATATTATTGTTTAAGCCATTTTGAATGTCTGAGATATTTATAATAAGATAAAAAAAACTATTAACTGACCAAAAATTTTTAAGCCATGATAAATTTTTCTGTAAGTAAAATTTATTATAAGAAGGTCAAAATCACTCCATTTATTTGAAACACTCTCCAAATTTGGTCATAAAAGTCCTTCTGAATGAGCTTGTTGTGGACAATGCTATCACTTCTGTTCCTCTCCCACCAAACCATTGCTGAATGTTGGTGTTGACCCAACATAGCTCCCCTTTTTTTCCTTTCTAACTTGTAAAAGTATCCTCAGCTACACCTACACTTTGTATCACATAAAGTCCTATGCAAAACAATGAGAATTAGCTTGGAGAAGATTTTACACTTCTTTAGAAAGTGGTAAATATAATTTCCATAGTTCTAAAACAAAGAGATTTGAAAGTTCTTTTATGGTATTCTTGAGAACTGTGAGAACATGTGGTAAAGGCACTCTTTCTAAATCTGGATTGCAATGGAACCTTCAAGGAAAAAACAGAAACGTCATGAGTACTATTAGTTAGGCAGTTTTGACAGAGTCTAGCTACCCTGGCAAGTCTACAATCAGCTGACTAAAACAGGGAATTTAGGAGCCATATTTATTCACAAGACGTTGGTGAAGAGTATCCATCCTTCTTCCCTCAAACGGGCAATGACATGGTCTTCAAACCAGCCTAGAACAGAGTCTCGTCTCATTACCTTTCTTAACAGCAACCCACTGAGCTGTCTCTGCAGTAGTCTCAGTACTCTACAAACATTGCTAATGGTAAGCACTCAGTAAAAGTACCAATTTCTATAAAATGGTTCTTTAGAAAGTTAAGACTCCTCAGTGAATAACTACTAGATCTGCACCTCCTTATAACGCAGCAGGCCCTGACACCAACTGAAACACTGCGTATTTCTGCAGAGAGTCTGGCCCTCACAGACACTGGTTAATGTGCTTGTTGACTTCCAGTCTGACCTCTCCCATGAACCATAAGCTATAGTTCTAGCTTGTCCACACTCTGTTCTATTCCAAAATCAAGCATCAACTGAAACACTTGTACTTCTGCAGAGTCTGGCCCTCACAGACAGTGCTTAATGTGGTTGCTGTCTGCCTGACCTCTCCCACAATCCATAAGCCATGGTTCTAGCTTGTCTACTCTCTGTTCTATCCCAAAATTAAGCACTAATGGATTTGAAAAATCTGTGTTGTATCCCCTTCATCAGAGTGAACAAATGGAAGCTTAACTAGGTAGAGCTATGGACTGTTGGGGCTGAATTTGGCAAGAGTTCCAATTTCTTCAATATAACACGCCTTATTATTTAATTTTAATGTTTATTCCTTTATATCTCAGTATGTGCACTAAATATGGATATAAGATTTTTAACGTAGGAAGAAAAATTAAAATAATGTTAATATTTTATTTTAGTATGACCTAAAATAAAAATTTTTTTCTTTGTGTTTGATACCTTTTTTTTCTTAAATAAGGAAATTTTAATTGCACAATAATTACAATGGCTATATGTTCAGTAACTCAGCTCTTTTTTCAAAATCTAGCAGAGGTAGACTTGGCAGCTGTAGAAAGGATAGACGTTAATGCTCATCCAGTCCCCAGAGATTCAGGGCACTAGACATTCCAATCAGACTCTCTTTTGTCTACAAATCAGAAATCCACAGGAAATTGAAACAGCCTATAAATCAGAGGACCTTGCAAACATGCAAACAATCCCCTTAATTCAGAGTGTGAAAACTGGCCGAGGAGGACCTGGTGGCTGCACAAGGCCAGGTCGTGCCCCCATCCCAGCCCTGTTCTTGTTTTTTAGGGGAGTTGATTTATTTCCACCCAACTTTCCGTCTCACACAGCTGAAGGTAGTGAGCACCCGCAGCATCTTGGATGGTGTGGTTTGTTAGGACAGGGATTGTACCTGTTACTGAGCAGGTAACAGAGTGGCGGGGCATGTGCTGGGCCTCATGTCTAGGGATAGGCATTTCCCAAGCACTTTCCCACCGTGATTAACATTCAGAGAACACTGCATTGTATCTTATTCCTAGTTTGCCTTCCAATCAGTTTTTTATTATGAAATCAACAAGGAGAGACAAAACAGGAGCATGATCATTTTAAACGTATTAAAGTGAAACTCTGAGGCAGGAAAACTATGGCCACTGGGGCAGTTTTCTCATGAGATACGCAACACTGAACGTGTGTATAAAAACCGCACTGAAGACCTTGCAGTGCCTGTGTCTACAGGAGCAGTCGGCTGCTGCTTTAGGACGAGAACATGATCTTGACTGACCAGACCACCCCACCTCTAAGTCAGCTGCTGCCTCCGTCTCCGCGGTCAATTATAGGAGCGGTAGTCTGAGCTTTAATTGGCCCCACGAAACCTGTGGTCTGTTCAGCATGTTTGAACGGGCAGCCCCTCCTGATGTGTGGGTGTGGGTGTAGGGCTCCGTGCTGCGGGCTCTGCACAGCACTAAGCTGTGTTTTCTCTCCCAGGATGAACGACACCGGGCTGCTCTCCCACAAGGAACACCTGCCGGTGACACGGATTGTGATCACAGACACGGGCCGGCCCGGCTCTGAGGTGGCGTACAGACTGGGGCCGCTGCTGTGTCAGGGGGACAGTGAGTACAGGAACCCCTCCTCATCGGGGAATGTGTCCTCCAGCCACCTGGGGACCCGCATGTC